GTCAAGCAATTTTGTCCACTTCAGTCTATTAATGGCTACCGTTTTCCAATTTATTTTGCCAACATTCTTTGCGTTTTACACCGTCTACCCATCTCAACTTCGGTCTTCCTCGATCTGGACGACCTTCAGGGTTACTTGCCATAAGGGATTTTGGCATCCTGACTTCGATGATGGCAATAGATGACCACTACGTATAAATACATTTAACGTAATTATCCAAATTCAACTTACATTTGTGGACGTAGAAAATTTAAGTTTTCCAAGAGTTATATGAAGTTATAACATTAATCATGCTCTGTGAAATGAAGAGCTTGCTACGATAAAAACTTTTAACATACGAGAGCGACGTATGAGAAAAGTTTTCTACTTGTATTATTATAATCTTCTGATTTCATTCCTCGTTTATGAAGACTATAATTTCCTGTAAATATTCTATTATATCTGATTTTAAAATACGGCCTGTTATATTTAAGAAACAGCCTACTACTGGGGCTAAAAACGTAGAGTAATGTAAAAGACCAGTACTCCCAAAACTGCACGATAGAATCAAATCATTTGATTGTTTTGAAAGATTTGATTCCATTGTTCTATAATCAGCGCTAGGGTTGTATCTAGATACAACCATAATGCTGATTAGAGACAAGAAAAAGACAGAACCCAATTCTAGATGTAAGGATTAGGTATTGATAGTAAGAGCGTGCGCACACCTGAAATTAAATTATCGCACAACTGATTAGTCTAGTTGTGATTCCTATGAAGGTGCACTACTCGATTTTTATATGTACAACTAAACAGTTGAATTGGCTGCGAAACAATCGACAATCTTACAACAATACTGCGATAGTTTAGTCAACGATGTTTCACGTGTGAATAAAATGTGCAATAAACATACAATAAAAGCAGACTAAAAATGTAAAACAAAGCATATCTAACAACGTCGTAGAACAAGGGCGTCGTTGAGAACGGATTTAAGCCCGCGGCAGTTTGTTATATAAACGGACTGAAACTGTTACGTTTCGCTTAAACGATGTCTCGCGTTTGGCTACGCTTCTGCTATATGTTGAATACATTTGTCCACATAAAGATAGATAATTGAATTCACTTTCTTTTATTTATTGAAGATTTTGTCAGAATAAGAACGCGCGCCCACCTTTGATTACACTATCGCACAACTGTTTAGTCGTGCTTTGATTCCATGCGCAAACTACTCGATGTTTAATTGTGCAACTAAACAGTTGAATTGGCTGGGAAATACTAGACAACAGCACAACTGTTCTGCGATAGTTTCGTCAAAACTGTGCGTCCGTTCCATTTTATCTGCTAATATTTGCAACAAGTCTGTGCCTTGTACCTTTTCATTGTGGTATCTAACCATCTCTAAATTTTATTCACCGTTTAAATAATGTCAAATGGAGCCTGAACTTGCAAACAAAGTTTCCACACTGTGGAGTTCCCAGTCAAGTGAATTTGTAACTTTTGACTGCGGACGTGGTGGTGAATATGCTTTGATTGTGTAAATTGGAGATGAATTGAAGTGCGACGCTGCTTTTATTCAAGGGTTCAGTGTAAAATAGTATTCCGTTTTAGGATCCTAAAGTAATCTAGGAATCTAAAGTTTATTTTGAACCGTAATCAACAATTTGATTACTGAAGCCAATCTCTCAACATTCATGAAATGAGATTTAGAAGAATTTCTTTGTGTTTCGTAACTAACGTTGTATATGTTTAAACAGATATATCCATTTTTATATATCAACTAGCTTTTGCCAGCATCTCCATCCGGGCGGAATAAAAAGAAACCAAAGCAAGTAGCCTATGTGTTCTTCCAGACTGTCCTCTACATCTATACCAAATTTCATCGATATCCCTTCAGCCGTTTAAGCTACAAACTCTAAAAAACATCCATCTATCCATCCATCCATCCATCTAAACTTTCGCATTTATGATATTAATAAGATTAGTTACACGGAACTAAACCCATTACATGTTTTTTGGACGAAAAACTTTTTATATTTTTTATAGTACTAACAAAATCCATCTGGTGATAAAAGCTTTTAGTCAATACTCGATTAAAAAACTATAACTCGTTCCACCGCTGAACCCTAAAATGTTTTATACCGATACCCATATCCACGAACACAAGGGTCGCCTGATTCCGCAACACGGAAACTTTTAGATTTAATTTACAAGCTTGCACTCGTCGGTCGTAAGAAGTTAGAAAAGTCCCGCGAAATTAAAGGCTTACTTGTTCTTCGAGAGGATGAAATATATCAAGTCAAGGGACCGTGAAACTGTTGGATTTTTTTTTAATTATGCGATAGGCTTTCATTGATTAGTACTGCCCAATGTGTGTCGTTAGAGAAGTCGTTAGATGACAAGCTAAAGACTGCATATGAAAGGAATTGGAGAAGTAGTTGTCCAGTAGACTGCTATGGCTGATGATGTTTGTCAAGAACTTACACTCCTGGATCTTAGTGTAATACTGAATTGTAAATTTTCTTCTCAGAATTTAGGGTAACGTTAAATTCTTTGTATTACGTTTTATAAAACGAGCCACGAAGAAACAGTTTTTATTGTTTTATCTCAAAGAGCCAGTTTATATTCCTTCCACACAGGAACTCACATTTCACAGCAGCGTGCGAATGAAACGGTACATTAACCGCCAAATGCTGAGGCATACTGCACTACAATTGGCATCGGTTTTTGTTTCCTTTACGTCTGATATTAAATACATTTCATCATATAGTTTCTTTTACTACTTTCCCTATTTTATCTACAAGCGCGTCTAAACTACGTACCATGGTTATATCCTCTAAGACTTTATCAGAAATTTTATTTATAAAAGATATAAATAAATTAACTGATACTTTTTCTATTTCATTTGAATTCATTTTGGTAGAATCAATATTGTCACAAGTTTGATTAGAGCTAAAAATATTCTTATCTAAAAATCTCACTGTTTTTTAATAATTCTCCAAGAAATGTTAAAAAGTTCTCAAATCGAGTCACAAAGTTGCTTTGATTCTGAATTAGCATTTTCCTTCACCTTGTATTCATAAATTTGGATCAATTCTGATTGAACATCAAAGACGCGAGGAAAGTACTGATACTTTATTTGAATATTTAACTTTTTCACTTTAGCTCAGAATTTGTGACACTTCGTTACTATTTTAGACATCAGCAACGTAAAAGTAACACGTATTTATTAGATCTATAGATAACGTTATAATAGTACATATTTTCAGGTTATGATTTACCTAGATCTTATTTGCGACTAAAATCCTTAATTCGACGGTGTTTTTTTTACCAAAAACATTACTTTTATGTTACCAATACAATAAAATCAAAAGCTCATGTATTTTCCTCTAAACTACTTTACTAGATTTTTTTAAATTAACTGTTCGTTACACTGGACATTACCGGACATTACCGAGGGTTAAAAATATTCAGATTTTAATTAACATTGTAAATTCAACTGATACCCTTAGAATTTCTGTTTTTTCAATCTATTATCTCAAATTAACTTTATTGTCGATAACTTGATCAAAATCTAGTTAGAGTCACTACCTTAGCTTACTGTCAATGTCGAATTTGTACATAATACAAGTCAGGAATTATCTAAGTTTCACTCTCCTATTAATGTTCATCTTGCTTCGGAATAAACTAACCGTAGTTTCGGAGTTATTCCTAATTAATCTTCTTATGTTTTAGTTTATTTGTAACTTCGTAACTTCAACTTTGGAACATCAAATTTGATGTCCGAAGATTTAATTAAAATAAATTACATTGGTAGGTAACAAGTTTTGTAATGAAAATAAAATAACCGCCTGTGAGTCTCTGGAATAAAATTGCTATTAATGTTGTAAAGATATAAGTTTGCAAGTCTTTTACAGTAAAGTAAGTCAGTTTCATCGCGTACTAACGTAAAGCGACACAGATAACATCAACACTTTTATGGGTAGCGCCTCTTGGACTAGTGATGTCCTGATTTTTATCGAAAACTTTTTTTTATCGATAAAAATAAAAAAAATAGATTTATCTTTACATATGATTATAACTGCAACTTAAATATCTATACCACTTGAGTGGTACACTCAAGTTGCAATAGTATTCCTCGTCTTCATTATCACATACATCTTAGATACTGTTATAGGAATTTCTCATCTTATAATTATAAACCTAAAGACGTATTGCGTAATATAATTTGCATTACATTTTATATCGATAAAGTCAATCAAACCACACTGGGACAGCGTGGTTGACTATGGCCTAGTCACCCCTTATTTAGCTTAGTCTCCTTAATGGGGACGTACAGTGAGCTGAGGATGCGATATATCGATACGCAATGCACATGACTATTTCATGCAGCGCGAACAAGGTAAGTGCCGGCGGCTATCGCTATGCATCTTCTGCTAAGTTGTGCCCGAGCACAACATTCACCCCTCGTAAGCCGATCAGATTACGGCAAAAGCAACTCAATACTACTGATGTTTGTTAAAAAACATATTAACAGCTTATCGTAAAACTTTACTATAAAATAATTTGAAGGCTTTAAAAAAAATTTAATCTTTTCGAAATATCATTATCTCTTCTTACAGTTACGATTGATTAATTGACCTTCGCTGGATGTTCTAGAACTGATTGTTGAATTTTTGTTTAAATATAAATTAGATGTTGCTCGGAACTTCGCTCGCATAAAATTTAAAAATATAGCCTTTGTTACTCGCTGATATCGTAGCTTTGTAATGGTGAAAGAATTTATAAAATCGTCCCCGTAGTTTTTGTTAATTCAATACATACAGAAATGCAAATCTTTCCCCTTTATAATATTAGTATAGATTACTTTATATTTCAGAGATATCAGTGTCTTTTCTGAATCTATATAGATCTATGTAGATAAATAGTTTTTTAAATAAAACTATAAAAATATTTATAAAAAAATTTACTGTTCGATCACAAATGTAAAAGATTATAAAAGTAAAAAAGTATAAAAAGGGATTCTAGACTACAACAGGTTCATAGTTGAGAGTAATAATTTTGTTTCGTACTGGTTTCACTATTTTAGTGTAGTTCGATTTCACATGTCTTAGAATGGGTTTATACTTTCCATTGAACATTGCCTTTGTTGATATAAAATGTGGTGGTTGTTCAGTTGATTTGGGAACTTGTTGTAAAGCAACACTCGCTTCCGACGCCATCTGGTCCACTTGTTTCCTCATTATTATTTCGAAATTCGACAGTTTCATGTTCTTTCGTTTCAACGGTACTATGTACTTCTTTGTTTTCACCTTATACCCTTTTTCTATTTTTTTAACCTTCTTATATTCTGGTTTCAGTAATTCTACTTTGACTTTGTACCTCACAGTCATGTTTGCCAATCTAGCCAAGTCTCTAATATCTCGTAAGTACCTTGTAAATATTGCTTCCGCGTTTGAGTCCTGTACTTCGAATCGTTTAGGTATCTCATTGAGGTGACCCAGTTTATGTTTGAACTCATGTTTCTGCTTATCTGAAATTACAGGAAAAATATTAAAACTCAAGTGTATCTTGATTAACTTAAGAAGTATGAAGGATGTTTTAAAATATTTTATTTTGCAGTCCCGGTTCTTGTCAATGTTTTTTGGACATGACTACAGTGCAACTGCAAAAAGTGTTTTATTTGATAAGAAAACGACAAATGTTATCAATTATTCACTCGAATACGAATAGATTCTACGTTACAGAACACATAAAGACGAGTTTTTTGGCAAACTTGAATAAACAATACACTAAATGAATAAAACAACTTACCTCCTGAACAAATTTGAACACAAACACAAATAGCAATAACTAGTGACCTAAAACACATATTTTTATTTCCAATTCAGTGCACATTCCTCCGATTTGTGGCGAATTTATGAAATAATAATGATTTATTCGACCACAGGTGGCTTATATCTCGAAATACGTACAAAAAATGTACAAATAGAAAACAATGCCATTTGTTTCAACACATGTTGATTAAATCCACCATTGACGGCGATAAAAACGTTACGGAGTGAGATTACTAAGCAGACGTTTAAACAAACAGGAGTGAAAAATTTGTTACTCATGTCCTATAAACAGGGATAGAAGTCATTTCATTATCGATTTAACGTTTCAATTTGACGTAAGTAGTAAAAATATTGTATACTAGCTTTTCCTATGCGGCTTCATCCGCATGAAATTATAATCACTTCATTTTATTGTTTACATTTGTCAAATGTCAAAATTTAAATGCATAAATGACAACCTTGCTTCCTTGATGTTGGCAGCTTGTAGTTTATGGTCCCTTTCCCACATTAGGGTTTTCATCCAAAATATTAACCCCTAAGTTTAATGGCGTGAAAATGTATAGCCTAAAGCGTGATGTAAGTGTAGGGCTTTTTATTAAACTAAAAATTCAAAAATATGCTGTAATGTTTGACATATAGGCAACAAAGAAGTGTGTGTTTACGATTTATTGTAATAGCATAGATAAGAGCAGTAAAATATTATGAAAATGATTTAGAGAGGCTGGAAAGAGACGAGTTGGATGAATGGATATATGGATGTTTGTTATTTGTCTTCATAAAGGCTTAACGGATAGTAATGAAATTCGGTACAGATGTAGAACATAGCAAGAGAACATAGGCTATTAATTTTTTTTAGTTTTGAACACGAAGTCGTGGGTGACATCTATTTTTTTTATAAAGAAGACAGCATATTCTAAAACAAGAGCCCAATAAAGCTTCCTGTGAGGTAGTAAATCTTTTCAAATACTCGTAAACGTGCGACTTTACGACGCGTTTACCGCGGTGTGTGCGCACCCTAATATAGAGTAAAATCTTTAAGACTGCCGCGTAATTAAGACAGCGCTTAGTATAGTTTATGGGTCGTTTTATTTCATAGGGATTAGCAATTCACCTCATTTTATATTAATCTTAATCATATCTCTAAGTCCTTTCCAGAGATTAAAAAATATAGAGTGGGCATAGTTGACACTACACTTGAGAGACTTTCCACATAATCTCATTAACGCTATCTCTTCATAGCCTTAATTCTACTTAAATTAATTGCTCATAAATAAATGTTTATATTTTATTTTAAGACACTGTTTAGTATGTTTTATAACAAAAGATGGAACTTGTTAGAATTTTGTAATTTTTTTTATTTGCATGTCAATGCAAGGACACGAGGCACTAAACCTGACAACTTATATAGTACCTTTCAAAGAAAGTACCGATGAAAAAAATTTTTATGCCTAGTCTATATACTCCTTAAATGTCTTTGATACTTACACTCGCAATAGCACATCGAATTATTTTATTCTGCCTTTTATCGTTTCTGTACAAAGGTAGAGAAAGACCGAAGATATGGATGGTGCGCTGGTGACGTCTGCTGCCCTCGGTAGCTTGGATAAGACTGGCTTGATAGTAAACAGTGTTGACATAGATTATGCGCTTAAGGGAGTGAATTCAGATATGACAGCTGGTAGAAATGGAAGCGGTACATAATGTGCAGACTTTCGTATGACTTGTCACTGCCATTGTCAATGATTTAAGGCAGCTTGGTGATTCATTGCTTCATCATCAATTCGTCATCGAATATCATAACGTGTATAAATAGGCCTATAGATATAGTGATTGTTATTAAGTCATTTTGTCTTCAAGAAAAGTTATCAAAACTATAAAAAAACGGAAATTGGAATATCTTGGGCATATCTTGCGTGGATCGAAATACGAATTGTTACAGACTATCATTCAGGGTAAGATTCTAGGGAAAAGTAGTCCAGGAAGGAGAAGAACATCGTGGCTTAAAAATCTTCGCCAGTAGTACAATAAAAGTACGCGTTCTATATTTAAAACTGCTGTGTCCAAACTTCAAGTCGCTGTAATGATTGCCAATCTTCGTTAGGAGACGGCACCAAAAGAAGAAGAAGTCTTCAAGATTGAAATTGTTACAAAATATGTATTCATTGAATACAAATCCAACATTCTGAATATGCTTTAACCAAAAATACCATGTCACTTGTAGTATTCGATGTAATTTCATATTGGATAAGGCATTCACTAGAATGTAAGGATTTTTTTTCGGAAATTCAAACATTTTCCTAAGGGAGCCTTAAGGAAAATACGTATACTGTGGGGGTGGATTTTGTTTAATAAAAATATATTCGCCCACACTCAACCTTAGCTACTGACTGACAGATTGTGTAATAGAAAAGTTCTTCGATATACCCAGTATAAAAAAAAACTAAAATTGTGGTTATTCTTTAGCAAATATTACAAAGATAATATTTTGTCTATGTCTTCGTGTATTTTACGAGTTAAGTAGGTAGCAGTTACTAAAATAAACAAGTGAATGTAGAATGTATTATACCTTTTAGGGGGCAATTTCATTAGTCGAATCCGTGTAATGTGCGTGGACTCCACGCATACAAGCTAACGACTAAGACGGTCGGTGTAAAGTAAGCTATGTTTATGAGCATAAAACTCCCAGTATCTAAGGAATATATACCAACGCATACAATAACAACCAATAAAAAACGATCCTAGCATGCGGGCGTTATGATATGCGGAGATCTCTCGCACAACGTAACCTAATGACTAGTGAAATCGCCCTTTAACACTCCGAAGAGCATGAATCGAATGACAATTTTGTTTTAACATTACTCAGGCCACTTCAACATAACTTCGACGTATTTAGGACATAGGAGATCAGAGTGTATAAGATGCTAGTGAATTATTCCAGCAAAAACAGAGTTTAACTGAGTAAACAATAAAAATTATTACAGTTAAATATTACGTCAGAATAGTGATTCGTCAATTTTCCCTTACGCATTTTACTAAGTGACTTTCGATGGAACATATTGCTGTGTAGACCTTTTCGGGAGACGGAGGGTGGTTTTTACATTTTTTCCTACAAATTCGGTTTTATGTTCGCGGTTATACGCATCCCCGAGTTTTGGGCTGCGGTATTTTTTAGACTTGAACTCGATTTTATCGTTCCCTTGAAGTTTGATAATCAAAACAATGACGAGACCACAGGCATAAATTCCCATGATTCTAATTTACATAGTTAACAATAGAAGTTACAGTTAACACAGACATTTATAAATATGTGTAGACTATAAGCTAGGAAAAATAACTCGATTGCATAGAATCGTGAACTCATTTGAACGAATGCTGGGAAGATGGAACGGTTTTAAATCGCTTCGCCAAGATACGCATCGCATCTTAATGCTTGTCGGGTGCTGAATAGACACATTCAGATAACATGGATAAGCCAAATAAAATATCACAATTATATAAAATATGTTGTAACATATGTAAAGCAATCATATAAAGACATTTAGAAGAAACATCTTGCTTTTGACGTAACCCAACTTGATTCTCAGATGTAAAAAAATGGACAAGTATAACTAAAATTTTATCAAAAAATTAAAACAGATGAATAAATAAAACAATAGTTTTAACTATATTAAATAATATAATACTAATCCATACTAATCTTTTACACGGAGACAATGCACCCACTAGACAAGTGGATCGTTAACGTTGAAAATCATCGATATTATTGTTTGAGCTATGAATGCAGATTCATTCCGCTCAAGTTCTCGAAGCTTCCACCGAACATGACTTCATTACGTCACATTTAGATAAAAAACAAGATTAAAAGTAAAAACCTTGCAACAAATTGTTAGAATACAAAATATACTTCGAAAGAATTATTTTTGACAGCTACACTTTGATAATATCCTTTTAAATGTGTTGACAAAATATGATTTTCAGAATAGTTAAAAAAAACACATATAGTAAACTTTCCATTTGATTAAATAGGTAGCCATAAGATTGATCCAAAGAGGTTAGAATGGTAATGTATTTGCTCAAAATTATGTAAATAATAAGTTTCCATAAACTATTACTAAAGCGAGATAATATTTGTAAGTGATTGAAATATTGTCGTTCTGTAAAATAGAAACAATTCAAACGTCAATACTCACAGTGAATACAAAATTAGGTGAACATTTTGAAAAAAAGTTAAGTAAGAAATCACATTTCTCCAGTCGTCGAATCCGAGAGTGAAATTGCTCAGAGTTTTATTGAACTGAAAGATGTAGCTTATTAAAATTCCTTCGACAGATGACAGTAATAAAGAATATTTGCTCAATATGAATACAAATTTATCGTTAAGCTAAAACGAATTATTATATTAAGGTCTTAAAAGAATTTTATTAACTACGCACATAACAAAAAATATAAGTACAATACACAATGAGATGGATAACATATAAAGAGTAAAGATTTTTATTTTTGTATGTATTCGATTCACATAAAAACTACTAGACCGATTTCAAAAATTCTTTCACCATTACAAAGGTAATTTATCTATAAGCAACATAGGCTATGTTCCTTATTATTATTTATTTTAGGGTGAAGTCGCGAGCAACAGATAGTATTTGAATAAAAATGATTTTAGAGTTACGAACATTGTTTTTTCCTCAACAACCGCGATTTCAACCACATGAAATTAATAAAAAACAAAAGTACGTGTTCTACCAGACTTTACATCTATGCCAAACTTAATAGAAATCCATTTAGTTAAGCTAACTCTAACATCCATCTATACATTTATTAAGTAGTAAGTAAACACTCTTAATGCATATGATGTATGTACGCTACAATATCATAAAAGGCATGTACGCCTAACTAGATAAATCCCACACACATATTTCCTGAAGCAGACAGTCTGCTAAAATGACGAATCATTTTCAATTCCGACCATCGTGATTGTGTTGACTAAGTACCAATTAGTCGACTAGTCTGTTTTTGTACGCAATTGAGCATTTGAATGCATGTTTACGCATGGCTTTAATACAGTCCATTCTGTGATATGTCTGATGATTCCGTTTTCGATCGCTAAATATACCTAGTACCTAGTCTATTTATTCCTGTACTCTATAATCTATCTCTGTTCTATTTCCTTTGTTCATTTACCCGTTATGTACAAGTGCTATGTGCGAACGTTTAGATGAATGGATGTTTGTTAGAGTTTGTAGCCTAACCTGCTTAATGGCTCTCGATGAAATTTGGCATACATGTAGAGGATAATCTGGAAGAACACATAGGCGTCTTATTTCTTTTAAATTCCAGGTAAACGGAGTCGCAGAAAACAAAGCTTAGTATTTACATATAATATTTATAGGAAATAATTTTTAATGAAAAGTATCAGAAACTTTGAAATAAACTATTTGCTTTGTAAAATAAAAGTTTATAACAAAAAACAGTAAACTCACTGAAAAAGGGACTAGAAAGAGCAAAAACATTTTTCAAAATGTAGAGAGCAACATCAGACAGAATTAATAGTTAGCTGTTTCATAAGCGATGTTTTTAAATCCCAGCCACCATAGAGATTACCCGACTCATTGGAAATGATACAAGGCTTTCGTCGCGCTTGCCAAATACTCTCGTTTCATGCACGGGTTATTTGCGAACTTATTCTGGGAAAAAAATATTATTTTAATTAATTTTAAAAGTGATAAAACTGGGTTAATGAGATTTTACTTTGATGATGCCAGTGCCAAGCAACTGCTACGTCAAATATTTTATAAAAATGTTTACTATCAATTTAGTGAGATCAGAATAAAAACTGACAATGTAAATGTAGACTTCCACTGATAGACGTAAAATGTACAGTCGCGGAAAACCACGGTGTTTCATTTAGAAAATAATTGCCTTGTTTCGTTCAACGAGAGAAATCCTTCCTACAACTAACCAATTAGGAAGCAGCAAGTTGCGCAAATGGCGGAATAATTATAATAAAAAATGGCCTTACAAATAAAATTAAATGCTGCGTCACTTTTGTTATTGCTCTCACATTTTCGTATCAATGCGTACAATATCAAGTTATTACGGTAGATCAGTACTAGTGCCAAATGGCAAAAATTTTAAATAAATAAATAAACAAAACACTGTCAAGAACTGCAGCTTTTAAAGTAGGACACCGCCTTATTTCCCAACTGTACTAAACGTGTACTGTCAAGATATTACTCCCTTAAAAAGGGCAATGCAACTCAGATGCAGTTACCAGAATACGGCCGCAGTGGAGCTACTAAATTTAACCGAATGCATAAATAACGAGCTTAATTGGGAGTGAAATCACGCTGTAGTTCTGATGAACCGTTTCAATTTTTAGTCGGCGCCCGACGCCCGTAATACCGTGTTGTTTAATTCATTTATTCTTTGTTTACTTTATGAATTTATCGTTCATTAACTATTCAAGCAAAATTCGATTATAAAAAGCTATCACAAATATAGTTTTTAAATCGTTGTCATTTAGTTAGTACAATTTATATGAATGACGTTAAATAATGTAAAAAAAGACGAATTGAGTACCTCCTTCTTCTGGGAAGTTATAAAAAAGAGAAGCCAATAAACACTTACACTTTGTATCTATAAACTCAAAAGTAACTATATTATTTATAACACGGCTAAAACTCACGTGGGAACTTTCGGTGTAGGCACCGACCAGTTTCGAACCCGTAGGGGGTCCTTCTTCAGGGTGAGTGGATGCCGGCTTTATTCGCTATCGCGTCGCGACGGTCACTGCGTGCCCTAGCCCGCAACGCGCGATTCGTCAGGACGGGGGGCGCGGGGGGTGCGGGGGGGACGCTGTGTGTCGGCGGAGACGAACTCGAAACTGAAGAGTTGATGGTGTTATTGTTCACGGGGGCACAAAATACGCTGACAATGTCCACCAGGTTGTCCTCTACACTGTCGATGTTATTCCGTTTCGCAGTTAGCAACACTGGGTCCCAAGCGGGTGGCAAAACCCAACCCTTATCCCTATTATAATTAGGCCGACGACTGATCTCGATTGCTTCGCGGAGCTTGCGGGATACAAAATTTTTCTCACGGGCTAGCACTTTAACTTTGTCGAACCTAATATAATGTTTCATGTCGGAGACAAGGGCGTGCTCAGCCACCGCCGAGGTGTTACTGTCGAGCTTGCGAATACTTCGGATGTGTTCAGATAGTCTTGTTTTTATGTTGCGCCCCGTTTCTCCGATGTAGTTTTCACCGCAATCACAGGGAATTTCGTAGACTCCAGGGCTGTCCAGAGGGTCCCGGTCTTTAGGGGACCGTAAGATGTTCTTTATCTGTGTCATGGGTCGGAAAATGGTCCTGATGCTGCATCTCCGGCGTAACAGGTGACCAATTCGATCCGTTATCCCCCGCACGTATGGCAAGTATGCCGGGATACGCTCAACAACCTGTGGACGTACTTTGCTTGACATGTTTGCAAGACGGTAACACTGCCGCCAATTATAGCCGTTGCCCTCTAACACCCGTCGTACGTGTGACAATTCTGATCCAATGTATTGTGGGTCACACAACCGAAGCGCACGGTTAATCAGGGTGCGTGGTACCGATGACAGATGTGAGGGGGCCATCCCCCCTGTGAGTCCCTCTCAAGTACCGATCTGTGTGGGTCGGCTTCCTATATACCGTATGTACCAGGCTTCCAGTAGGTTCCCGCTTCACTAAAACATCCAGAAATGGGAGAGTTCCGTCTCTTTCCACCTCCGTCGTGAAGACAATCTTTGGATGTATACCGTTAAGGTGGTCCAACAGTGAGCTTAAGCCCTGCCTGGTGACTATCGCAAACACGTCATCTACATATCTCCACCAGTATCTGGGTTTAAATGGCGCCGTACGCAGAGCATTATCCTCGAGATGTTCCATAAATATATTGGCTACCACCGGCGCTATCGGTGAGCCCATCGCCACTCCCTCCATTTGCAAATAGTAATCTCCTCTCCAGAGAAAGTAGCCGCTCGTAAGGCAAAACTCTATTAAAGGTAAGTACACAGAAGGTAAATTATTTGCGCTTAACAGTTGTTTTATAATACCTATAGTTTCAGCTACTGGTACATTAGTGAATAGAGACTCCACATCGAAACTGACCAATATCTCATTATCATGGACTTTGACCTCCTCTAGCAGGCGTGTAAAATGTGCCGAGTCACTTACAAAGCTGTTTGTTTTTCCCGTAACAGTCTGTAACACTTTGGCCATATGACGCGAACTTTTGTAAGTAGGTGAATCGATTTGACTGACGATGGGACGCACAGGCCAGTTTGGTTTATGTACCTTTGGTAGTCCATATATCTTAGGTGACGTTGGATTTACGGGCCGCAACTGATTTTTCTCCTCATGTGGTAATGTATTTAAAATCTTGTTTAGTTTGGTGGTAACACGAGACGTCGGGTTGTAGTTTACCTTTTTGTAAGTTGCGGTATCACTGACAAGTTGTGTGATTTTCTGCTCATATTCCACTGTGTCTAGGATCACAGTCGCGTTACCCTTATCTGCTGGCAAAATGAGGACATCGGGATTTTTGCGTATAGACCATAACGCCTGGTACTCCTGCCTGGAGATGTTCATTTTGGGGCACTTGTGTCTGCGTATTATTGCAGATATATCTTGCCTAAGACACTCAGCCTCAGGCGCTGGCACTTTGTTGCGCATGAAACAGCTTTCGACGCCTGTAATCACGGACTCCACTGGAACTTTACTTGGTGTTATTGCATTGGACATTGTCAGCGTATTTTGTGCCCCCGTGAACAATAACACCATCAACTCTTCAGTTTCGAGTTCGTCTCCGCCGACACACAGCGTCCC